AATTGGACTTCTTCAGACAACAGTTATCTGCACTAGTAGCGTTTTACAGATTCCTAAAGAACTGCAATGCTGTCTTTTGTTCTCAGTGTTCTGACTAAAACAAGAACAAAGGACAAACATGTTTAGAGACATTCAACTGTTTGGGTGTGATCTCCTGCTCCCATTTCCTCACAAAATGTGAATTACCAATCACTCAGAATGAGTTAACACTGACAGATATGAAATACTATATAAATCGCCAACTCTAGCATTCACTTGAATGAATGAGGCTACTATCAGCCAGCTACTATCAGGAGGAAAATAATGTTAAAATGGCAAAGAATTTCTTTACAATTGCTGGAGATGACAATTGTCATGATTGTTGTGACACAAAAATTTGAATCTTCACGAACACATACAGCAAGGTCTTTTTTTGTTGAGACACAGCTGTTTCATAAAGTTCATGAACAAAAAAAAATCTCATCCTAATGTCAGAATTTAGTAGTTTTGTTTCTTTACATGAGACATATTCATATGTCTTTCATATGTCAAAAACTACTTAGATTTGAGACGAAAACGTAATAATCTCTGGTTATGGAAATGCTAAAGTTGTGGGCCATGTTTCTGTAAGAATCAATGCGAACTGACTTCAAAAACAAATGGGAAATCTAAAATAACGTTACAAAAAACATGGATAACCATCATTTAATCAACAACAGCTTATTGGGAAACAGAAGGCGGTTGCAGGGTTAGCAGGTTCATTATATTTATAATATAATTACATTCAATATGGACTTCTAAATATATTCTTTACACTGTGCACTCAAGGCAGTTGTAAATACCATTTAAACAACTGTCAATGTCAACAAACATTCAGAAGCGTGTTATGAACAGGAATGGACACGCATTCTTTCCTCTACTCTAGAACTTACAGTTTTGGCTTGATTCGCCTGTTTAAGTCTGTTTTTGTTCACAGCAGTCCCCTTGTTGCGCTTCCACTCCTCAGATAAGACAGTCGTGAAGTCAGAGAGATGTTTGCTCAACTCCGACACGACACTTTCAACTAACACCCCCATAACGGAGGACAGTAACTCGTGAATTACTGCCGTCATGCTCAGGGATGATTACTCGGCACCTTCCTCCCAAAAATATGCTTACTACCTCATTACATACAAACTTGCAGGTTAAAAAGTACACTAGCTAGCCATTCGCTTGTTTGTGGCGGGTGAACAAACGGTAGGAATTTTTTCAATAACAAAAATTTCGAAAGCAGTGTTTTGTTAAAGCAGTACTGCCACCTAGAAGTTTGGAGTGATTAGTACTTCCTGCGCCATTTGTAAACGGAGGGGATTTACTTCTTTTTAGGTCAAAGGTCTGTTTTTAATGCTTCTGTACTGGAAGTATAAAGAATCTAAATGGATGACCATGTTAAAGAGATAAATATTGATCTTGGCTTATTTTTTACCCCTAGAAAACAAATGTTTTTTTTTTTTTTTAATTTGTGAGATAATTGCATGTAACAATATTTAAGAAATTCTATTCTAACTATTGTTGTGACACAAAAATCAAAACCTCATAAGAAAAGGTATTTTAATGTACAAACCATTTTTTAACTTTCTAATTTTTAATTTTTGTGTGGACGCAAAGTAGGGACACAGCTGAGCTTACATTTTAAAACTGTTTAAAAAAAAAAAAACACTAATATGGATGAGATCCATATTATAGAGCTAATTTTTGATCATTCGTGATTTTTCACCCAAAGAAAACAAAGAATTTTTTTATTAAGATGCATGCAATTATGTTTGCATGCAACAACTTTTACGAAATTCCTAATAATTTAACGCATGCAAAAATTCTTAAGAAAATTGTAAGAACAAAAATGGGAGATGAATTTATTAAATGAATAAATAAATACAGTTACCACTTTAATAATATTTTGTGTAAATCTGGCAAATTACATAAACATGGTAGCCATCCAGGACCCAAACTTGATTAGTTTTTTACTTTATTGGATATACACAAAATGAGCTTTTTGTCAAAAACTATAATAAAATTTAACAAAAACAAATATTGAAATGAAGTATCCGACTTCTCTTCTGAATCACAATACAATTAACAAAATGTTAATACAATTCCACAAAATGTAGCACCAATAATGATCTCTGCGAATTTGATTCTTTTACATTTATGTTCTATATAGTCATTTGTTCCGTTGTGGGTTATATTGTATTCATAGAGGCAACGCTCAAATATCTGTAGCCTCTGCCTCAGCTGCTTGGCTCTCAGGTTGAGGTTGAGGGCTCTGAGGAACAGGACTTTTCACAGCAGGAGTGTATGTAATGGGAATCACTCTCTCGTTGCTCACAGCATTGGCTTCTTTGGGTGCTTGTATCTGTAGCTGGCCATTATTTAAAGAGCAAGTCACCATCTCAGGATTCACACCTTCAGGAAGGTCAAACTCCTGCCTGAATTCTTGGCATCTGAACGAGAACGATCCTTTCCCATCGTCTTGCTTCTTCTCTGTCTTGCCGCTCACCCGCAACTTCCTGCCCACTTGTTTGACGGACAGCTCCTCTGGAGTGAAATCCTTTGTATCTAGTGTCAGTGCATATTGGCTTCCTTCCTTTCCGAGCTGGAATGAGATGGGTTTGAAAGTCGTCATGGGTGAAACATGGTCAATCTCGTCGAAAATCCTTTGGTGCAGGCGCTCCATGAACTCCAGGTTGTGCCTCATCTCCTGCATGTGTCTCATCATTTCTTTCTCGATCTGAAAGAACAGAGGTCTGGTCTCTGGCCACAGACTGCGCACTGGCCAGTGGAAGTCCATGAATGGGCTGAGGTGAGGCTGAAAAGTGCTTGGGCAAAGCATCTTTGGTGGATTTTCGGTGCTGTGTTGAGCTGGTCGAGTTCTTCTGTGCTTCTGTCCCAGTGAACAAGACCTGAGGCTTTTATACGCTGCCCCGGAACATTCCAGTAACGCTCCTCTATTAGCACTGCAGTCATCCTGTCGAAGAGCTGCTATGACTGAGCACTTGCTGTCATGTTCCAAAACAAGTCGGCTGTATTTTTGTGATCCATCTGTTAAATACCAGAGATGTACATCATTGTTCTATTTCCAGTGACCACTCTGGCGCTCTAATGGGTCTGCATAACTTTCTATTAAGGGAAGAGGGTAATGCGAGAGGATGATACAAGGTTTTCCTAGCATATAGCAACGTAACATATTAAAAATTAAAAAAACTAATCTTGGTTACTGTGAGAAATAGTCTAGTTCAAAGTCACATCAGAGCATATTTTCTTTGTGTGTCAGAACTTTCTTCATATTCTGTCTGCTGTGTTTAAATTTAACATACAAGTGTTCCAACACGCTTTCTAATCCTGCAGGTTTCTGAAACTCACACCTGTCTTGGCAGTGCCTCTGGCCACGTCACCTCAAATACATTCAAAAGGATGGAACAAGTTTAGCTCACTCAGGTGGAGACGTAGTATCTGTGGATATAAATAAAAAATGTATCATCACTGATATCAAGTATGTTGGAATTCATCTTTAGTAGCCTATAACCACAACCTGTCATGTCTAAAATTTTGTAATTATAGTTTGGTTTCAAAGGTTTGGACAGTTACTATTTATTTTAATGACAATACATGATACATCTGAATGAAAATGGTCAGTTGACAAAACTAATTTCTTTCTAAGAGTGCGTCTCAATCAGCTCTCTAGCTCCCTAGCTCCCGAGCTTGTGAATCAGTAGATCGTGTACACGAATTCGGTCACGGTAAGTTCTCTGACTCACTGCACGTTGGGACAGTGATCACTCGAATTCCAGTGACATGATTACGTACAGCGTCAACGGACAACATAATAGAACGTCGTCACTGGAATTAAACAACATGCAGGACCAATCTAATTTTTATATTATTTTTTATTCTCTTTAAACACATCGTTCTGTTACATGTTCTTACAACATTTCAGCCGAATATTAATTATAAATGTTAATTAGATGTGTTCAATTCCTGTCTAGCAATGTGTGTTTATGTTGAAATGTACTAAAAACGGCTTGTCTTTTCAAATCTTCTATCACGCGTCATTATATTTATCGAGTTGGCTCGTGTGGTTTATGTTCACGCTTCAGAAATGTGAAGTTATTTCCGGTAAGGGAGCATAGTGAGCGCCGATGCTCCCTAGTTTTTACGGTGCATTGTGGGATTTTTCAGGGAGCGAACGATCCAGTGCACTGGAAGGATTTCGCGATTGCGACAGCCCTTAAAATGGCCGACTCCCTGATCAGTGCCCTGACTACTGAACAAGGGAGCTGATTGAGACGCACCCTAAATCTAAATCATCTAGCCTACAACTTCTACTAACTAACTAACTAAATAAATAACAACTGACTGACTGTATGGAATAATTATAGCCTACTTTAAAATAATATTTAAGTGAACTGGTTATTAAAGGGTGAATAATAATAATAATAGTAGCCTAATAAAAATAATAATAAACAAAGAGATAGATAGATAGATAGATAGATAGATAGATAGATATGTATACTTAAAGAATCGTTTGTCACACTGTAAGACTAAGTAATCTGGTTGTTGAAACGGTGAATAATAATAATAATAATAAACAAAATGGCTACTAAATAAATAAATTAATACTCTATATTAATTGAGTGCATTAAATATTTACCACACACACACACAAACTTGTTGAATGGAAATGTCACTCTGCAGAACTAAAATATTATTGTTGTTGTTTATGATGATGATGATAATGATAGACCTAACAAATTAATACATGAATGAATGAATGACTGAATGAATGAACTATATTAATTGAGAGACTGTATGAAATATTCAGCCTATAAATTTAAAAAAACTCATTTATTACACTGAGGGAATATTTAAGTGAACTGCTAAAATGGTTAGTTTTTTATTATTATTATTTGTTTCATTTAATTTTATTAGTAGCATTTTTGTTTTATTTAAAAATAGTGAAAAAAGTCACAAAAGTTGATGGACATGTGTGTACACTGTAGCCTACCGAGCAGACCGGAGTAAGACTTTCTCTCCTGAAGAGATCCGTTCAAACATGGTTCCTCCCGTTCAAGTCTCCCCGCTTATCAAGGTACAGCTTCTATTAGGAATATGACTCTCAAATTGTGTTTTATATTCAGAAACATGCTCTATACTTGTTAGTTTATATCAGCGACCTTCATTTATCCTCAGCAAATAGCTCGCTATACGTTGCTAGCGCTAATACCTAGCGTAGCCGGTGTATGAGCTAATGGTGTTAGCCTGCTAGCCTGTCCACAGCACTGCAAGGTCAGTACGTTATGGGTAACGTTACATGATGTGTTGCATAGAAAACAACGAATGACCTGTCAAATGTGAATAAGGATTATTGACTAAACTTGTACATTGTCCTGTGGTAGGGTGAATTTATAAAAATATAACTAGTCCCTGTAGTCTCTAAATTAAAATGGTCACACAGTGTATACTTACTAAGTTATATAAAAGCTGTATATTTGAAAACATTTTGTTTAAAAGTGGACTATATTAATTATATCACGTCAAGTACCCATTAACAACAGACTGTGATTTGCATGCTGTCCAAAACTTTGACCCAACTGTATTTTCTCATACTGAATGTTTTTTAGTCATATGCAGTAAAGAAATAGATTTGTAAAATATGAGAGTTGCCTGTGAAGTCTTGAGAAGCTCACCAGTCAACAAACCAGCAGTTTTCTTTCTCTGATTTCAGACAGCAAGATGGTCAGCCTTGCTAATTGGATTAATTTATGGGAAGCAGAGATATGGTAAGCGTTTATGTACGATTTTACGTTGTAGTTTAAAACTTAAATTAATTCAGTTATATTTTGTATTGGGATGCCTTTTGTGCCTCTGTTAATTGTCTTTCTATGGTGTTTTTCAATCAATCTGCTCACCAGATTATCTGAAGCCCATTGCTGCTGAAGAAAGGAGGATTGAGGAGGAAGAGAAGAAACTCAGGGAAGAGCAAGAGCGCATTTACAAACAGCTTTCTGAAGGTCTGTAATCTCTCTCTATACACTTATTCTACAATATAACAAGAATAAAATATAACAAAATGTATCACATGATGTTGCAAAAACCCTGTTCCACCTGACCTTTGTCTCAATACGAACATTTTATATTAAACAATAGAGGGTAGATACAGTAATGTTGAAATGGCATCTGGTGAAAGAAATTAGTCCCTTTTTTATTTTGTGATATATTAACAGCATCTCATGATGTAGCAGATTTCACCTATGTGAAGTTTAACTTTGGGTTTGAAGTTATTCAATGAAAATATTCAGCCAGACAATTTCAAAGAAGTGTTATTTATGGAAAGGAATTTCAGGGGATGTATTTCAACAGCTTATGAACTAGAGAAAGTTATCAAAGTTAATTGTATACACATTTAGTAGTGATACAGGGTGTTACTTTACCACAAATATTTCATTCTGAAGTAAATCTCCATGATGTATCCATTCCAGCACCAAATGATATGAATCATAATAAACCTTTTTTATTTTCAATAAAGACAGAAGGTAAAAAAATTCTTATGTGTTTTCTTTTTCCTCATTGCCATTATTCAGGGAATTCAGATTATATGCATCGAAGGGATGTCTGCATACCTTTTCAGCAAGAAAAGAACATTAATTATTAATGTTGTAAAATGATATTTATATGCTCTATGTGCATCTGACAAACCAAGATCATTCTCTGAGAATGTGTTGTAGACTGTTTTGTCTTTTCTCCAATGCCGTGGTGATGTTTATAGAGGGAGGACGGTTGTATAACCCCACCATGGTTTAGCATAAACCCCAGGATTTAGGTCAAGCCAATACAGCACAAGTGCTGATTTTGCACAAATGCATTGCAGCTACTTAGCTGCAGTGCTACACTTCATTAACTATTTTAATAAGCGAGATACATTTTTGTTTTTAATCTCTGGTTTCCTTCATTTATACACAACACTTTTTCAGAGTTTATCTAAAAACCCCAAACTGTCCTGACTTTTACAGAGACAAAAATACTGGAAGTCTTATAAGAATATTGTCAGAGGATTTATTGGGAAATGGAATGTGTAGGGATGTTCAGATAATCTTTGCAGACCTAGTTATCTAGGAAGGGAAGGGTGGAAACTGCTGATAGTTCTCATGGGATAAGAGGCTTTCTTATCGAGTGACTCATTGAGCAGATGTGTGAAGAGAATCAAATCCTTTGTAGTTTTGAAGAGTCCCAAATTAACATTGTTATTGCTTTAATACACTTTTTGAAAGAAGTCTCTTCTGCTCACCAAGGCTGCATTTATTTGATCCAAAATACAGTAAAAACTGTAATAGTGTCAAATACCTGCTTATTCATTTGAATATATTTTAAACTAATTTATTCCAGTGATGACAAAGCTGAATTTTCAGCAGCCATTACTCCAGTCTTCAGTGTCGCATGATCCTTCAGAAATCATTCTAATATGCTGATTTGGTGCTCAAGAAACTATTTTTATTATCAGTTTGAGAACAGTTCTTAAATTTTTGTTTGAAAGGCATGATTTTTTTCTCTTGCAGGATTCTTTGATAAATGGAATATATAAAAGAACATCACTTATTTGAAATAGTCAATCTAAATACTAAGAAACACACAAAGTACATAAAAATATATGCTTTAATTGTCATGGTATCGAGCATACAGAAGTGAAGCTTAACATGTTTACCGATTTAATTGGAATCACCCATATTTGATGCTGTATTTTTGATGGTTTGAGAGCATCTTTAATGATGAATCAAAATAAGCAAGTTCATGTCAAAAATGATGAATTTTTCTCTGCAAGTAAATCACATTTGTGTCAAATTCAAAAAGTCTTATTACTGGGCCCTCACTGTCAGATCTGACACATTGATTTAAACATCAATTTTCTTTGCTACTGCCTGATCCTTCACTACTTAAACCTTTATGATATGTGAAACAGAAGCAGCAGCTTTGTATAATAAGCTTGTAAAATTCATTAAGTGCACTAAAACACACCTTCGTAGTATTTACTTTAACACTACTTTAAATAAAATAAATTATAAAATAATTTCGTATATGTACACAATTAGATTCACAACTGATGTTTTTACGATGTTTCATAGACAACCAGTGAAGGAGAGACTTAAGAAGAAAGTCAGGCATAAGAACAAAATTGCCTGAATCAGAATACCTTCATGAATTTAATCACAGACTTCTCAAAGTTGAGTGTGATGACAGGTCAGCTGAGAACTGATGAATGGTATCAAGGCCACTGGAATTAGTTTTCTCTTTGAACGCATGTCCCAGCAGCGGAGACACTGAGTAATGGGACATTGCTCAGTAAAACACAGCCATGACAGCACTTGATGTAAATAAGTCTGAAGGACAATTGCGCATTACCTGTCAGCTTAAGTGAAGGAAAAAGTGTCAAACTATAAAAAACAACTATAACTTTACACTCAAACTTTCTACCTTCTAACCACGATACTCTGCCATCTAGCTTACCAGAAGCTATATTTTGTTGTGCACTAAAGTCTGTCACCTACCTTCTCACATTTAGTGACCTGGGGTGCGTTTCCCAAAAGCATCGTTGGCTAACTATGGTCGTTAATTCCGTTAATTCCAACTCGATTGGTAACGACGGAACATGCGACCATAGTTGCTTTTGGGAAACGCACCCCTGAATAGTAGCTTCCAGCTGTACAATGTGATTATTTTTTGAGGGAATAAATGGCATAAAAAAATACATCACTCTTATAATGGCCTTTGTTTTTTGGTATTCAGTGAAAGGTGACGACAAATTGAACATTATTAGTTACAAAAAGAGAAAAATGTATCTTGCAATTACAACAAATTTCTGTACATATTTTATTGATTCCTTGATTGAACTTGTCATGGACCTGCTTGATATTAAATAGAAACTGATCACCTGAGTAAATAAATTAAAACCTATCCAGTACAAGTATAGATGATGCTAATATCTTGGATCTGGATGATTGAATGGAAAAAAAGTGATAAAAAAAACTAAATTTTCCTGTAGTACATTTAAGTCTGCATTGTGATTAATTGAAACCGATTACCATCCAATGAAACTGCTTAAACACTGTGACCCAAAGGAAACACAATGGAACAGTAATACTAACTGTAGGCAAGATTCAACGTGTGTTTTGGTTAGCAGATGGTCTTGTGGCTTGGTGATAGCATATAATGCATTGATAGCGTTTTCCCACTCACTCTTGATCAGATCCTTGGGGATCCTAAGTGTGAGGTTGATCTACCCCATGTGACGTACTGTTTAGAGGCTAGGTTGCATCTCGAGCTGCCTTGCCCTCTGCCTCTGTACTGTTGTCTTTCCTCTAGCAGATGGAGCAGGTCTTGGATCCTGATCCTGATCCACTGGTGCTGTTGGAATTTGCAGCTGTAGAGAAACCGCACAGAAACAAACACAAAGAATCCGAATTTAAGAAATGCATTATATCATACAATATATAGCTGACAGGATGTGGACACTCTCTTATAATTGGCTATTCTAGTTCAGGTCTGGGCTTTTTGATGGCCCATCAAGTTCCTTGTAGATTAATGAACTACCTTTCAAATGTCTGGGGTCAATAGGTTTTTTGGCTTTTATTCTGCTGGAAGGATCAATTAAATCGATCGAAGTGACAGTAAAGTAATTTATAATGTTACAATAAAATTTGACTTAAAATAAATGCTGTTCGTTTGAACTTTCTATTTACCAAAGAATCTTGACAAATATTTTAAGCAAAGCTGTTTTCAACATTAGATACTTATAAAAAAAAGATGAATAAAAAATTTGTATCAAGAGTCTATTCCTGTTTAATGTCAACAAAAAAACACTCAACAATGTATGTGAAACAAAAATGGGAAAAGGAAGCCAATATAAGTATAACAGAAGAAGAATGGTTAACTATGTTGAGAACTCAGATGACCACAACTAATACAGATTCATGGAGGGAGTTCACTTGGAAAAATATAATAAGGTTTTTCATAACCGCTAAAATAAAATATTTGCAATCTGGGAATCCAAAAGCTGGTGAATGCTGGAGAAAATGCGGAAATGTATCGGCTGACCATTTTCACATCTTCTGGGACTGTAATATCATTCATACTTACTGGCAGGATTTGAATAGAGAGATAAATGCAATAATGGGATTGAATCTTGAATGTGACTTTAGAACAATGTACCTGGGACTGTCCTCTTCAAAAATAGCAAAGAAGGATATATACCTCTTTAATATATTATTAGCAACCAGTAAGAAGGCCATTACAAGGAAATGGCTTAAGGAAGATCCCCCATCTGTATGTGAATGGCAAGAAATTGTACATGATGTCTACAGTATGGAAGTGCTGACAAAAAAAAAAAAAAAAAAAAAAAGGTTTTTAAAATTTATAAAAAAAAAAAAAAAAAAAAAACAGCAAATCAGCATATTAGAATGAATTCTGAAGGATCATGTGACACTGAAGTTATGGCTGCGGAAAATTCTGCTTTGCCATCACAGAAATAAATTACTTTTTTAATTCAAATAATTTTTGATTAAATACATTAAATGCAGCCTTGGTGTGCATTAGAAGCTTTTAAAAACATAAAAAACCTTAACAACCCCAAACGTTTGAATAGTAGTTTATATCGGTATGTTAAATGTCAACCTGAAAATTAGCTATAGGAGGGTCTGATTGTAGGTTCTTTCAATTTTAGTACAAATACAGTGAACAGAGGATATAGACTAAAATTCAAACCATTTTTGCCAGCTGCTTCCTGTCTGGCCTTAGCTGCCTCCTCCATTGCCTTTAGTTTTGCCTCATATTCTTCCTGCCTCTCTTTCCAATGCATTCGGTTGTTCAGAATGCCGTCAAACATTGGCTGGATCTCGGGGTGAAAACGAGAGAATTCCTGTGGAAAACAAAGAGGGAATGGTTGCTAATTAATCCTAATGGCCAACACATTCTCATTTTGTTTTTAACAGTGATTTCTTGAAACAAAAAATTATGATTCATAAAGTTACCTTGTAGACAAAAGTACAGACAAAGTCGATAAAACCACACTGAAGCTTTGGCAGCTCTGCGGCTTTGTTCCTGTCCATCATGGGCTAGATTAAAAGACAGGTACCACAGGAGCTTTTTAGATTATTATTTTTTCCAAGATGGGCACTTTCCTAGCACAAACAAACAAAAAAGTTCAGTTCCCTTCATTCATAAAGGTACCTTGTAGACAAAAGTACAGACAAAGTCGATAAAACCACACTGAAGCTTTGGCAGCTCTGCGGCTTTGTTCCTATCCATCATGGGCTAGATTAAAAGACAGGTACCACAGGAGCTTTTTAGATTATTCTTTTTTCCAAGATGGGCACTTTCCTAGCAGCCCAACCAACAATATTAGATTCAGGTACTTACGATAGGTTGTTGCTCGAGAACAGTCCTCTCAAGATCACCCTGCTCCCAGAATTCAGCGGCCACAGAGAGGGCGACCTAGGATGGGAGAAATAACACTCTGTTCATTGCTGAGAAACAAAACTGTAGTCATTCTTCACTTGACATCTCTTACCTTGCTCTGCACCTCCCATGGTTTTGCGATAGCTGAGAGGTCACACGCTGTCATCATCATGGCCCTGGTCAATTATTAAAAATATAAAAACATGCAAAGCACAAAATTATTTTTTTTAAGAGATGTGTTACGCTAAAATTCCATCGTAGTTATAAATGGACACACTTACATTACAATTTCTTTCCTTGTTGTTTCAAGAGACATGAAGTCCACCCATTTCTTCTGTTCTTCATATGTCTCAGAGAGATCGACAATTTTCTGGAACATCGTTCTCTTTCTTTTAGGTAGAATTAAGTTGTTGTTTATATTTTACATCTTTTGTCTCATTTTAGCTTTACATTTAGTTTCACTTCTTTAAATGAACAGTCATGGTTACTATAAAACCGTCACTTTACAAAAAACAGCTAAATGATTCTTCAGGAAAAAAATAACTGCATATGAGTTTGAAACAACATAGTGACAAGTAAAGAATGTATTTTCATTATGATATATCATAGAAACTTACTTGAAGTACAAGGCAAGATCAGTTGCAATAATGGCTATATCAATGAGGTGTAAGACATGCTCCATTTGTCTTCTGTTGAGGTTTTGGAAGATGTTTAATGACTAAGAAAAAAAAACATATGTTAGGATCAAATCAAATTAGCGTGAAGGCTTACATTCTGGATGGTTTGCTCATACCTCGTCGGCTAACAAGAATTTGCCAAAATCCAAGTGATGCCTCTCTAGAATGGAGGATCCATGCAGCTTGGCTAGAGGATTTTGGGACCTAATCACAAAGTGTGATGATTATTATTAATAGAATCAATAATAGTACAAGTACTAGTAGAAATAGTAGTAGTATTTACTGACTTCACTTGGTAGAGATTATTTGTGCCTCTGTGGTCGATATCATGCAGGAAGCCAGCAGTGATCATGGCCATAACCTCCAAATCGGTGTAATACCGCTTTAGTTTGCCTGTCTGACTCCATAAAAAAAAAAAAAAAATCTCATTATGATTTTATCATTTTTAGTATGTGTATAAAAAATGTCACGAACAACAAAGATGCAGAAATCTGTTTGTTTGATCCAGTGTCAAACAAACAGATTTCTGCATCTTTGTGGTTTGAAATTCTTTTTTATACTTAAATCAAGAACAAACATTTAGTTTGGACCCTAAACAAGTAATTCTATAGCTTGAGCAGTACAGCATGATGCTAACACCAACATCATGCTTTGAACTCCCAGGGAATAAAATATAGAATAATAAAATAATAAAATAAAATAATAAAAGTGGCATCTAAATGAAAAAAAAAATGAAGGGAGAGCTGAGCAGGTCATACCGTGAGTAAAGTGAACATGGTTTGCCCAACATTGAAGCCATGGCGCCAGTTGTGGTAGGTGATTCTTCTGTAGCCTTTGCTGACTGAGTACATGAATCTCACCAAAACCTAATTAGAAGATAGCAGCCAATTTTATGGAATTTCATGATACTTCATGACAAAAATCAGGTGCCTCCATCATTATAAACAAGCACATTTACCTCCTGAGGGACCTGGAACTTTTTAACCACTCCAACTTCATAGTACATCTGGATCCCACACGTTACAAGATCCAATTCAGTGCAGTCAAAGTCTGAAAAATGGAATGCGTAGATCTCAAACTTATTCAGGCCAGGCAGCTCTTTTTTCTGCATGAAAAATAATAAAACCAAAGTCAGACCGTGCACAACTTTTTGAGAACATAAACCAATGCAAAAGAAAAAATATAAATAATTTGAAAAATGCAGTAATAGCTGAAACAGCATAACTTAAACATTAATTTACATAGACATATTTGAAAGCATCTGTAATGTTTCTACTAATGGATTCCTATTAAAGGCGACTTTCTTTATCTTATCTCTCTGAGAAGTTTAACATCAAACTGTGATTTCAAAAATCTTTAATTAATTAAAGCAGTTCAGTGTACCAGAATCTCCAAAAGCTCTTCCTCCTCACAGTCTCTTGGTTCTCTGTCAAAATATTCTCTTGTTTTCTAGAATACAAATACCAAAGAAAACAAAAATAAGTAGTTATAAAATAATAACAAAATAAAATTTGCAACTTAAAACTATAGTCTTACAAGGATGTTTTGAATCTCATCATCTCGACATTTGACATGGTACAGCACCATGTCCTGGGCAATGTCCTTCCTGTTCTCCAGCTTGTTCATTTTGTCATAGGTGTCTGTATTGAGGACTGACCAGCCCAGAAACTGTGTCAAAGCCTGTCAAGACAGCAACGCATTATTCCGTAAGTCAACAAGTGAGTGGTTTTTGTATTTATCAGTAAATGACCGTTCTCTTTAGTGCTACCAATCAGTCTATCAGTTGTACCTCCATGAGTTGTTCATCATGGTCATCAAATGGTTTGCCATCCTTCCTGTTGTAGAAAGTTGCAACACCAACAATTTCTTCTTTTTTGTTGACAACTGGCAGGGACAGCACGTTCTTGATGGTCCATCCACTGTCATCCAGAGCTTCCGTCTACAGAAACCCAAAGTGTTCTTACTACAAGTCAAGGGAACTTCAAGCATTAAACATGTTTTAGACAGTAAACAAAAATACCTGAAATTTGAACATTTCATCTGCTGCTGCATTCATGATGTTGCAAATCTTGAATACACAACAGAAATCAATAAATTAATATGTAAATACATACTTAACATTTCAAAAATCAACCATACTTCATTCCCAAAGTAAAAAAGGAGTCACTTACAAATCCACTCTCTGCTACATATGTAGGTAATTCACTAACCAAAGCCCAATGATCTGCAGGTGGAGATCTGTGAAAAAGAAAATTGTGTTTTTTTTATAATGCTATCTCTTCTAATGCACACATTGGCTATAATACGTTGGTTACTAGAAGAAAAAGAGGAAAACTTACGGTATGACCTTGATGTCCTCTTTTCCATGCAAAATGTAATCAATAACTTTGTAGAAAATAATTTCCTAAGTAAAAGATACAAAAATCAGATTTAGATAAAGGTGTTAAATATGATGCGATTTCAAGTTTTCCTTTCTCTTTGGAGTGTTACAAGCTCTTGGTGCATAAAGAAGATCTGTAAAGTTGCAAAGACTAAAGTCTCAAATCCAAAGAGATATTCTTTATGATCACAAATGCAGACAGGGTTTTATGTTTACGCGGCACGATGCAATGCAACGCGTAAAAAGACAGTATAAGTCATTATAATCAGCAATTATGTCCCCACTGGATGCAACAAATGCCTCGTTTGTAATGGGTTTTCATGTTTTTTGTTTCGTCACTCCGGCCGGGACACGGCATCAACAGTATGGTGAGGGGCGTAACATTTCCGTCACATGCTTGAGGTATTCGGCCAATCACAACGCACTGGATAGCTGGCCAATCAGAGCACACCTTGCTTTTCAGACCGATGAGCTTTGTAAAAATCGACGCGTTTCAAAAAGGCGGGGCATAGAGGAGAAACAATAATGTACAGTATGTGGAAAATAATGTGTTTTTTTTACTTTAAACCGCATAAACACATTTCATTACACCAAATACACAAAATAATGTTCTTTTTAGCAACATCATATGACCCCTTTAAAGGTGTAGTTCTCCCAAAAAAAAATAATATTCTGCCAACATTTATCATCCCAAATCTATATAATTTTCATTCAGAAAAAATAAATGGTCTAGCAAAAATACCCCAAGCTGCTCTCTTATATTTAATAAAAGTGAATGGTGACCACAGATGTCACTGTTTGGAATATAAGCTCCAAACTGGGACACAAGAAAGTCAAATGGATTTGCAATGACATAAGAGTTAGTAAATGTTAAAACAATTTTGATTTTGGGGGAATTTGAATTGTAAAAAAATGCAGCTTACCCTTCCATCAGGAGTTACAGGGCCAGAATAAGGTGGCTGCTCTCCCATCAACACAGGCCAAATATCAAAGAACTCCTGCAAGAGAATAAAACCTCCGGGTCAGTCTTTGAGAGGGACGTGACAGCCTCTAAATTAAGTATGAAGTCTCTGTTCCTTCCAGCAATTATAGTGATTGACGTACCTTTTCCTTGGTCATGTCCAGTAGGCCCACAGAGTACCTGTCACAGTTGAGATAGGCTCGTACTGTGTACAAAGCTTTGTGAAACTGTCGCTCAATGTCTGTGAGCTCTTCAAACACCTTGTTAGCTGACCAAAACAGCAGCTATGCATGAGATACATGAAAAATGCATTTAAAATCTACCTTTTTCAATTCAGTTTTACAATTTTGTCACCTATTATGCAGATGTACCTGTCCTTTTCGTGTCTCACAGTTATGAAGGTAGCTCAGATGAAAAATCTTCAGGTTCAGAGAGCCAACTTTCAGATACTTTAAAAAAAGCTTTAAAAGAAGAGAAAATAACATGATGCCATACCTTTACTGTCTCTTTAAATGCCAAGTATGTCTTTACTGTACCATTTCAACATTTTATAAAAAATATCTAACTCTTATTGTGAATACTACTGTTGAAAACCAACACACTTAGAAATAATTGCCAGTTAAAATGTGTTCACATAAGTTTTGAAAGACTTTTACAGTTTACTTATTGTTTTCTTATTTAAAATTTAAACTGTGAAGCAAAAGAAATTCTTTAAAGTTGTGCTTGTGCTATTTTTACTGGTTTTGAGGCCACTGTAGACTGTATTAATAATAGTGGTGGACAGAAACAGCAAAAAGACACTTACATCCTCATCTTCATCTGTGAAATGGGGTCCAGTAGTCTTGTTGACTGCCATGATGATGCCTACGACGTCTTTTCCATTCATGATGGGTGTGGCCAAGATGTTGCGTGTGGTGTATTCAGTTAGTTCATCAACGAATGAGCTGAAGTGACTGTCCTACAGTGAAAGCAAAGTCAGTTTTGTCACATACAGAATACACTTGTCCCTACGCACTAGTCTTTTTATCACTTACTAACAATTGATATTTGTTGTAGAGTCAGGCTGAAAAAAAAAAACATTTATTTATTAGTTTATTTCTTAATTTAGATACAAATTTGTATTCTTTTGATGTTAAGCACAATATCTCATCACAGTTGAAATACATGCAGTACATAAGAAAATAAATTTTAAAAGACACATTTTAAAGAAATATTTATAATTCACTTTTAACTGTGGCATTTTTCTAACAATTAATTACTGCTAATGGAAAAATGACATATGGATATTAGAAAGATTAAAAAAAAACATTTTAGTAACACTTAACAAAAAAGGTCCTATTAGCTATCATTAGTTAATGCATTAACTAACATTTAGTCACAATGAGAAATACATTTGTTACTTTATTTATTAATCTGTTAGTTAATAAAACTATTAACTGTAAGTTTGTGTTAGCGCAAGTCCATTAAATAATATCAACAGATACAACTTTTGATTTTAATAATGCATTAGTAAATGATAAAATTAACATTAAGTGTAATAAATGCTTTACTTTTGGTTACACTTTATTTTATGGTGTCCTTGTAACAGTGTAATTATACATTTAAGTACTGAGTAATATTAAATAACTACATGTATTTACTATATGGTTAGGGCAAGGATGAGGGTTTGGTTTAGGGTTAGTTGCATGTAATTATGCATCATTTATTGTTTTTACTATAGTACATACATGCAACATTTGTAACAAGGGCACCATAAAATAAAGTGCTACCATTTTTTATTGTTAGTTCATGTAAAATAATGCAACAAATGTTAATGGAAGCTTATTGTAAAGTGTTACCAAGAAGCGTTTTATTGCCCCCGTTTAACAAGATAACTATTTTACAAGCGATTAAACAAACAATCTGTAATTCAACTACTGAGAGAAGATTTGGTCACTGTGTAAATGCCACAGGTGAAATAATCCTTCATGCTGCACATGGGTCATGGCATATTGAAATAAATGGATTATGTCAAGAGGATTTGCCAAGCCTCAAAATATGACCATACCTGCAGTTTAATAATGTCTAATAGTGTGACTAGTCTCTCTCAATCAAATTTTACAGTTTGTCTGATCTGTGTACAGCAATGTTTTCCTTTGTACCTGTGTAACATCCTTCACATTGATGGGTTTCTTGGTTTGAGCCACATATCCTACTATACCGATGTCCAGAGGGAAGACGATCTCAGAGTCTGGAGGCACCACGCAGTCATCGAGCTCAGAATTTTCATTAACGTTGAAGAGATGTGTAGCCAGCTCAGCGATGCCGTTTCTCTGTCGATACATGAACAGGCTACATCGGTCGGCATGGATCAGAGCGCTGATCCGCTTCAGAATCTTAAAAATCACCTTCTCCATATTGACGTTCTCCTGCATGTCTGTAATGAGATCGTAGAATAGCGCTCCCTCCTCTACTGAGCATATGTCCTTAAAACTGTCCATATCCACTTTCGACTCTGGTATTCGCATGATCGAGGCCACAGCACCAGGTTTGAGCTTTTTGTCAAAATAGCTCCTGGCAAAATCTGGATTTCCATCCAGGAACTTCTCCACGTCTTCCTTTTTGACACTCATCTTGGGATCTTCTGCCTCAATCCCAGTACTGGCAGGTGATGGCCAAGGAATGAGAGTTCAAATGAGGTTTCAGGACAAAAACTGAATATTTACAGCATATAATCAAATCCTCAAACAGTTGAGAAAACGAAGAATCGTGAGATGAGACGCCTGCCACAGCAGGGGCAACCCGTGTCCAATCTAACTGTCATCAGCAAGGTGTTTTCCTAATAGTGTTGAAGGTGAATCAGGATCTGCTCTAGTAAAACTGATCAGGTGACCTGTATCAAAGCCTGAGCCCAGAGCTGAAACCGAACGACATCCTCCTCTGAACGCTCTCTGCGTCCTGGGAAAGAGAAGAGATGCTCTTAATGACAGTTTTATAGGAAAAGCTATACGGTCATAAAGTATGTGAGTGCTAATGCACAATCATATGATTTGTTCCTCTACGTCTCCTCTCCCAGAAGCCTGGCCTTTGCGCTACAAGCTCTTTAAGTTCTTATTAAAAACACACTCCTCAATACTAAGCCCTATTTAACCAGGCCACTAGCTGATTATCTCAGCACCCCAGTTGTCTTCTTACTCAATGTGACTGCAACCATGAGAGCAGTGAAAGGGCTTTCCTAAAAAATGGAAAAGAACAAATGTACAGTATATGTGAATATCAGTCATTAAATAAGACCAAAGGATGACCAGACATATTAATAGTGAGCCTGAACTGCTTTAAATTAAATAAATAAATAAATTAATGAATTAAATAAAATAAAAAAGCAAAAATAAACTAAAATAATAAAATAAAATAACATAGAAAATGCAGAAATGAAATAAAATAAAAATGCAAAAATAAAATAATAGAATAAAATAAAATTAGCACCCGTAACTATTCTCAAAAAGAGTAAATAACTCTGTATTTCATTCTAATTCTTAAAAGTATAATATTGCCATTTTGTATAGAAGTAACATGGATAAGCTTAAAAGCCATTAGCTTAAAAGTGGGACCACTGCAGATACATATAATTAGAAAAATATAACTGGTAGACTGTGATTCATGTGCCATTGAGTGCCAATATTATGAACACTGTTCACCAACAGTATTATATAATTAGTGTGTGGTATTTATAAACAGAGTACATTGTACTCATAGTGTACACATAGTGGCATAATTCAGAAGAATTATGAACGAGACAAAACAAAAAATGCAAAAATAAAATAAAATAAAATAAAAAATGTACGCTGCTTGTTTGGAAACCTTTCCTAAACCTGTTGGTCTTGGTTCTGCAATTCAGGTACATTTGGTGCATTCTAAATACTCCTAATAAAAACTACTAAGGAATACGTGCCTACATGGAATAACCATAAAGAGTCTTATCATAAAATGCCTATAATCCTTTTGTTTAGGTAAAGTTCATATCCATCGTATCCATCTTAAGCAAAAGGTCATGAGGATAATCAGCATATTAATAGCTACATACCTGCACAAAACAATCAGAGCTTTTGCTGCTGAGGGAAGGTCCTGTGTGCATCTGTGAGTGCTGGTCTATCTCTATTTTTTGGTAAAACCCTGCTGTTTAGAAGCTGTACATTATTAATTGTCAAATGTATGCAGTTGTCAGTTAGTTGCCAATACACAAAGACTGTAACTAAATCAACCTGTTAGACAAATGCAGTGTCTGTGGAGTTGCCTGGGGGTTAAGATGGAATGGGAATCAACTCTACCAGGGTGTGAACCTCAACCTCTATATTAGCACATCCATAACCAATAGGATATCACCAACCATTGTATTGATAAGAATAACTGATTCCTAAGCACAAATTTCAATAATGTGTTCATGTTTGTTTAAACATTTAAATGATAATATGTAAGACATTTTTACTCTTTGATGTGAAGAAAATTTTTATTTTGTGGGTGACTTCTTGACCCACGAAAAAGCGGTAATCAGAATCTGAATTCAGCCCTAGTGTTTTTTTTTTTGCTATAGTTCTTTTGTTACTGTGCCACCTAGTGATAGGAATCAGTCATTGTTCTGCACTCTTAGGCAAAAAAGTTGTCACTGGGACAGGTACCTTTTCAAAATACACAAATATGTACCATTAAGGTACAAATATGTACACTTTAGGTACTAAGATGTACCTTTAAGGTACCAATATGCACTAGGGCTGCAAAACGATTCATCGCGATTAACTGCATTCAAAACAAAAGTTTGTTTACATACTATATGTGTGTGTACTTTATTATGTATATATTAAAATACACACACATACATGTATACATTAAAGAAAAATATGTTAGATTTATATATAAAATATTTATATTTATATATAATATAGATTATATACAAGTATAAATATATACATACAATTTTTTTTTTACTATTGTGACGAGACAGTAGCTTGAGGATCCATCTGCAGTTTATTAGACACAACCAGTACAAGGCAGGGAAGTAGACAGTAGTAACCAACAGTACACGTAATCCAGCGAACAGGCAGAGAATCGGGGCCGGCGGCGAGCAATCACAGTACATAAACAGGCTAAAGGGGTCGGGGCTGGCAGCAAGAATCAGAATCGAGATAAACAGTCCAGGTCAATACACAAGCAGGTAGAATCACAGAAAACGCTCAGAAATGATCACCGGGGCAAATCAAGACTTCGCACTGAAGAGCAGATAAGAGTGCCTTAAATAGGTGTGTGAGCGTGTGAGATAATTGAAGACAGGTGCAGGGTGATCAGTACCAGGTATGAAGGCTGATGGGAGTTTGAGTCCGAATGAGGTGGTTAATACTCAGGTGACGGCTCCCTCTGGTGGCGCGAGAGCTGTAGTGCGGGAGCCTCCTTTGTAACAACTATATACAGTACATGTGTGTGTATATTTATATATACATAATAAATATACACAGTACACACACATATAGTATGTAAACTGTGATTAATCATTGTGCAGCCCTATTATGAACCCTTTAGGGGTAAGTAAAATACAAAGGTGAACCTTTTGAAAAGGTTCCGCTGCAGTGACAACTTTTGTATCTTTTTATCTAAGAGTGTGCTGATCAGTAAGATGCTACACATTAACCAAATGAAAATGAAAACAAATTGATTCTCAAACTCTGTAAATAAAAGACCTCAAGGTTTTATATGATAATTCAAACATTTTTTTTTTGTAATTGTCTAAATGCGTTTGTCACTGCCTACAAAACCCACAAGGGTGCAGCAGACCACAGTTTGACTCATTTCACTGAACTCATGTGAACTTATTGATCTCACATGCAAATGATCTTGCAATTTGCACAGTTTGACTGAACTCAATTGATCTTGACTATTTTATACTGCAGTCCTTGGATTGGCTGATGGGAAGGGTTGCTGTGTCTCTAATGGTTGAAAACCATTAGATTTGCAATTTTATTTTGCAAAATAAAATAAATATATTTTATATATATATATATTAAATATATTTTAATAAAATATATTAAGATTTGCAATTTTAATTTGCAAAATTGACTGTGTTGGGTAGCATTGTTCAAGAACACTATCCTGGCAGGCATTTAGAAATCTTACACTGTTTTCTGTGTAAGATCTTACACATCTTACAAAAAAAAAAAATATTCACAGCATGTGTATCATGACCTGAAGGTCGACTTTTTACATTTTACAAAAAGGCCTTTTACTTGCTAAAAAGTATAACCAATCAGTTAGAGGCCAGAACAGATTTATTAATTTAGAGGTCTTTCAAATTCATGCATCAAATACATATGCTTTATAGGGTTAAATACCCCGTTCTTTGAACTGAGCATGAAACAATGGATGTGATTCCAGAAAACAAGCTTAATCTACTGCATCAGTCAATGGGAACATGTGCATGGTCAGCACTGGTGTATGAACTCACGCTAAGGAGTGCCTTTGTTTGAATAGTTTCATAGGTTGGCCAGGAACAAACCTTGGGGGATGTGAGGGATTAGGATCAGGGTTTATGGGGTGAAGTCCACGTGAACGACAAACAAAACAAGAGGGCCATAGATGCATTTCTGCAAGTGCTGAAGCTTAAGGAAACAGCAAGGTGTGAAAATATCCACTGAGAAAAAAATGTATGGTGAAGAATTTAATGAAAAAAGTGGTGTTTGCTATTAAATTAATATGACAATGCTTTTTGACAAAAGGTTTAACCAAGTTAGAGGCAACTGTTAAAGCTGAATAGTGCAAACGTGTTCTAACACATTATTAGTACAAGGGATACACAACCTAACAAAATAAAATGATGTCATTATTTACTTAGCCTCATGTTGATTCAAACCTGAATGATTTTCTTTTTTCTGCGGAACACAAAATATGATATTTTGAAGAATAACTTGTAATTGTTATCCCAACAACATTTATTGGAGCCCAATTATCCAAATGTATAGACCAAAAAACCCAACGAGACAATTCTCAAAATATCTTCTTTTCTTTGTCATCTGTTTACATAGTATATATAGCTGAGATCTTGAGAAGCTGTGGCCAAAAAAAGAATTGAAGGTATTAAAAAAGAAGTGTACTAATCTCTGTGGAGTACACCCACAAATATATACTACTGAACGCTGCCTTGAGTGCCAAGAGAGGTCAGCCAGGTTAGCCATATCTCATCTTTAGACACAGCCTAAATAAATGGTTTGGGATTGGAACTATGGCAACACTGCCACTATTAGAGTTACTCAAGACAGGAACTAATTAAGCATTATGTAATGGAACTTGTCAAGCATACTGGCAACTGTATGGATACATATGATGCTGAATCACCCCACCTGAGAGCAAAATTCTTTGAGGTCGCAATAGCATTGAGCCAGGAGGTCTCAGTACTGTAACGTGACATCCAATCCTAATACTGCTAATTCAGCAAATGTTGGCCACTTACGTTACGCAGATATGCATGGTAACTAGTCCCAAGAACAGCTCAGAAAAGTCTTATGGGGACAATCTAGAACAAGTCATCTCACAATAGATACGAATGTACATCAATCGTGTTGGACAATAAATTTCATCTTCAATATCATATGTCTGGCTGAGTATCTTAAAAACAGACCTAGACAGTTAACAGTGATTCCTGAATTAAATTTCCAAACAAAACTGTGATATAATGGTTGTTAAAATCAGATTAATAACCTAAACCTAAAAGAGATACTAAAAAACGGGCATATCTGATACTGACTGAATTGTATATATATTACTTTTTAAATGAATGAATAAATGAATGAAAAAAATAAATAAATCCTACTGATTAATATCAAAGATAATTATTATTATTAATAATAAAATCTTTATTTGAAAAATGGAGTTGAATAATGAGGTAGACTAGGAGCCTGTACAACAGCATCATAAATAAATTTAGAATAGATCATGCAATTTTATGCATTGCTTTTATGTAATGACATCATAGGGTAAAGAAATATTATATTATCTAGATTTTGATTGCATAATTACACTCTAAAAAATGCTGGGTTAAATACTACTCAGTGCTGGGT